CCTTCTTTCATCCTAACCACCACAGACATGGTTTCCATCCCACCTTCGTTTATACTATGTATTACTACCCCCAATCCTAGCCTCCATACCATCCCTAATCAGCACAATTATACCCCCTCCTCTCAACTCTCCCCCTGAATCCCTTCTAAAAGACTGCCATCCATTTATCCTAAGACAGTCTTCAGGACACAGCCAACTTTCGACAATTGCCATCATATCATAATCCTCTCCCACCCTCCTAACTTCATCTATTTTATTCCTCACACTCCTAGCATTCCAAAGCGCTATCCTCATATCTTATTTAAACAATCCAACATCAAACATTTCATACTCCTCCTACTTCCCACCATCGCAGCAATCACACACATTTCTAATTCTCTCACAAACAATATCTCTACCACATCTAATTCATTTCGTTTCGCTTTAGCTTTTACAAAACGCTTTATCTTCCTCTGAGCATTTCCATAATACCATACGCATACCAATACCATTTTCATACCCTTAATGTCTCTAAAACCAAGTCTATTCCACATATCTCACTCTTTTCTTTTTTTTTTTTTTTTTTCTTTTTTCTTTCTTATCACTTACACTTTGAATCTTATTGTAGTTCTCTAACCACACTATTTATTTATTTATTCACAAATTTCCTCGCCACTCCTTCATACCCTTTCCATAACTTCTCTCCTTCTTCTCCTTCCCATTCCTCCCTACTTATATATTTGACATTGTCTGGAACATTTATGCTTCTATTACCCATCCTTAACTCTTCCTTTTCTTCCTCCTTCTCCTTCTGGACCTCTTCCTTCTTCTCTCCTTTACCAATCAGATATTTCCTCACCATCTCCTCACATTTCTCCTGCTCCAGCCTTTTCTCCTCTACCTTCTTCTTCTCTCTCGCGATCTTCCTTCTCGTTCTCTCCTCAGTCTTTGGGTCTATGTACATTAAGAAATTCGGGGTTCTTATCTCATTCCAGTCCTCATCCGGATCTGGAGTTACTTCTTTACTAGCCCTGTATTCTCTTGCCTTTATTTCTTCAGCAAAGGTCACTTTTAGTCCTCTTTCCTTCACAAGCTTAATCAATTCCTCAATTAACTCGTCATCCTCCTTCTTTTTCATTGCCTCAATTTTTTGCATGGCCTTTTTCTTTACCTCCCTAATTGCCTTCCTTTCCCTCTCTCGTCTCCACATCTCTGTTACAATCTTATCTTCCTCGTATTCCGCTTTTCCTTCCGGTTCCTCACCCACTAAGTCATACGGGAACGGTATCCTTCTTCTGCAAATGATACCCCCTTCTCCTCTCACACCGATTTCCTCCATACCTCGCGCTTGTCCTTCCTCCTGCAAAACCTCGAAACTGTTACTAACCTCTATTCCTTGTCTTTCAACCTCATCTCTCCTTTCTCCACATCTTGCTCCTCTATCCATCCCGTTCCTTTCTCCTCTCCTTACCACCTCAGCCCATCCAGACGCATTGCCTAGTCCGATATTCCTCCCCTTACTATTTCCTTCCTCGGTCCTCACTCCCATATTAACCCTCTCCTTCAGGTTGACTCCCTTAGCATTTGCAAATCCTTTTCTAATATTTTCCACCTCGTCCCACATTGGAACCTCTTTTCCTTCCCACATTTCTATTACCTTCCTCTCGGGAAGGTCAGCCTCGGGAAATCCCTGCTTTCGTTCACTTCTCCCATATCATCCTCCAGTCTTATCCCCTCTATTCCCGCTGCTCTTTCCACGATGTTCCTTGCTGTTTCAAAAGCCACATTTTTGTACGCCATTACCTTCTTTATGGCAAATTCCTTCTGGTATACCCAGCAGCTTTTCGCAAAGGCCTCATGATTTCCTTTGCAATTCACACATTTCTCAATTTTTTTGCACACCCCATGTTTTTCTTCCCCACATCTTCCACAGAGCGGTCTTCTCAATTTACAAAACTTCTGTGTGTACCCAAACCTCCAGCACACATAACACTGCTTAACTCTCTCAATATATGGCCATATCTTCACTCCTACGTGTCCCTGCCCGATCAATAGCGTAGTAGGCAACTTATCTCCTTTAAACACTATTAACAGTGGCTCCTCTTCATCGTCCCATCTTCCCCTTCTTCCCTCTACCACTGGACCTCTTCTCAGTTTCTCCAATACGAAATGCCCCTGCCCCGGCATGGCTTCGTTCTTCAACTCCTCCATTGTTCCTGGCCTCTCTTTAATGACGCCTTTTCTAAATCTCATCCTTTCCGGAATGAAAGCTCCAACATACCCCTCTCTTTTCTGCCCCTCTTCCATGACCTTATTTGCTTCCTCTCTTCTTTTGAAAGTCACCTCTGCCCTACTAAAACCAATCATTTTAATGCCTTCCACCTTTGCCCCTGTGCCTTGCACATATCTATATATTTTCATCATATTCAATTTCTTACTTTTCCTCACGCTGTTATTTTTTAAAAACAGGCCTACCACAAACTCTTTTCCACAAAAATCCTCCTCGTATCTAATCCCACCACGCTCTGTCCTCCTTTCCTCCACACTTCCGTTCCCTTTCCTACTCGACTCTGTGTTTCGCCACGTGCTTTTCGCACCTATCTTTTCTTCATGCTTCTGTAAATTATGTTTTTCGTTACCATTAAGCATTCTTGAATCTACAACACTAGGCTTGTTTCCCTGCATATCTTTACCTTCTTCTTTACCCTTTTCAACTTTTCTCTGCTGTTCTTCCAAAGTTTCTTCAGACTTATCGCTATCCGTCCGCTTCAGACTTCCTTACTTTTATCGCAATCCGTCCGCTTTCTCTCACCCACGCCGTCAGAATGGACGATTTCCGCGCCCTTTTCCAGCGTTTCCGCTTTCGCACACTCTTCTTCGAGCGGCGCCACCGTCTCCAGTTTTACCAACTGTTTCCGTTCCTCTCCTGTATTCCCTATTTCCACTGATTCCGCCTTTTCTTCTCTCTGCCATTCTTCTCCCCCCTTTGTAATTCCACTCTCCTCTTTGCTATCCTCTAATTCCGACTCTTTTTTCTCTTTTTTCCTCAACTCTTCTTCTTCACTGCTTGCATCTCTCACCCTCTTCCTTTCTCCTATATTTCTCCTTGTTAAACTACTTTCCTTATTTTCTTCGTCTAAGTCTCTATCTTTCTCCCTCACACAATCTTTTACTTCCTCTCTGTCCATTTCCTCAATATTCTTATTGCACAGCCCCAATGTAGCTAAAACCTCCTCTTCATCCTCTTTTAAAAATTCCATATCCCAGTTCTCCAATTTCTCTACATCTTCTACCATCACTTTTTCACTTTTCTCACACATATCTTTTGTATCACAGACTTCCTTTGGCATCTTCTCTTCTTTTTCGCACATTTTATCCTCAATATTATCTATTTCCGTTTCTTCCATCATATTCTTTCATACGCCTCTAGGGCCACCAAAATTATTAATTCCACCTCCCCCTCACTTAAACACTTGTTTTTTAGCGTCCAGTCGCGCACAACAAAAACTTTATCCCCCGCCTACCACGTGGGTATACGGGGGAGATGATAAACCTCCAAAATTCCTCCTCTCCCCACCTCCTATTACAAACTAATTATATAAAACCTCACCCCTTCCTCCACTCCTTCCTCTGTGCCTTATATAACTAATAAAAAAACTTTAAATCCAAACAAAAACTTCTAAATTATCAGCGCTCGGCAAAACCCGTCCTACCTAACCGACGCCATCTTCCCTTTCCAGAATCTTAGTATCTTTTATAGTTACCTCACAAAATTGGTTCAAATTTTAAAAATGTGTTTTTTTTCAAACTCAAATTTCTCAAAAACTGCACGTGCTGGAGAAAAACAGGTTGCAGATTCGTAATCAGCGCGAAAAAAAGCTATAAGAATCACTGAACGAAAATCGAAACGTCGAAAAAAAATTAAAATTTGTTGGACAGTGTTATCTTTTAAGGATATATAATATAAATATGCACAGCATATAAATCACTACGTTTCCATCGAGGGTTCAAATCGGGTCAGAGTCGGGTTAGAGTGGGGTTTGAGTCGCGGGTTGGAGTTGCGGCAGGGTTGAACATTACCAACTGCACAAAGTCAACTACCATATTCTGACATGTAAAGCTGAGCAATATTAATTTTACAATATCAAAATAACATACAAAAATTATTTCTCAGATTACAAGATCACCGACAAAAAGTAATAATAACCTCTTCTACACCGATTAATACAACACGTGATACACAATGCAATTTGGATTTGTTATGTTGGCAACACGAACTCGACTCTTGTCGTTTCCACCGAACCCAATTGAACGCTACCCTAAAATTTTGTAGGGTAGAGTTCAACTAAACCTTTGGTGTTTCCACCGTAAAAGCGCTCACCCCAACCCGACTCTAACCCGATTTGGACCCTCGATGGAAACGTAGTCAATGTATGAAGACTTAATATGAATAATTGCAAAAATTGTATTGACATTTTTAAATTTCCGCTAAGGTAAGTCAGCGGAACACTAAAGATCATAATTAATCAAACAACAAAAAGGAAAAATAAATAAACTAATTGAAACTTTGAAATGAATTAAATGAACTAAACAACTAAATTAAACTTTTGAACTTCTTTAATAAACTTTAACAAGGATTAACCTTTAAACTAATAAAATGAAACTGAATTAACAAAACGAATTTTAATATATTGCTCTACTAAGTGAAGAATACGTGCGTTACTTTCTAGCTCTGAAAATTAAATTTAATGAAATCAGATTTCTAATTGAAAATCAAGGATAATTATGAATTTGTTTTACAATTTGTTTCATTTCCTCCAATAAAATTAATATTTTTAATTAAAGTGTCGTTAATTGGCTACCTTATCATCCTTTACTTATTAGATAAGAGTATTTACAAGTTGTCTATGATTTCAATTTACAATTTGTTGAATACACTCTATGTTCTTCTTCAACTGAACCTTTTTACAATTACAATCTAAATTTTGCGCGTTTAGAAGTTACATATTTCATCACGAGATGGAGCCGCTTTTACGTTATGTTTCGCTTCTTCTATGTTCATACAGAATTAAGTTGGCAACGAATGCCAGCACACAACAGTGGTATGTGTTAGTAAATTTTTACATTAGCATGTTGGCCAATATGGGCAGCAATTTCACGTAACTTTTAATCATTACTAATAATAATAATAAAAGAAAAAAGTAATAAATGTATTTTTAAAGTGTTACAAAAATTGTAAATTTTTTAAAATAATTGTGTTTTTTGACATGATATCCTAAAAAACTATGCGTGGGTACATGATTTCGTCCTAAATGTGTAACAATGAATTGTTTATGAATACTATTTCAGGTAAAAATTGATGAAATTTCAATTTCAGTTATGTATTTTTGTTCATACACTCATCTTATTGCTAACATATGATACTATTAATCTGGTTTTCTCTTATAATTTATTACATTTGTATTTGATTGATTAACTTTTTTATGAAAAATGAACTTTGCAATATGTTGCAGTACATTATTCTAATGTAATTCTCAATAACTAGTAAATGATCAACTTCATACTGATGTACCAGTTGTAACGAGGCTGCTGTATAAAATCATTATATTATTTTTAAACAAACTTAGATGATTGTTAAATTTAATGAAATAGCTGGGTACATTTCCTTTAGATGTTTAGTTTTACAATTTTATGGTAAATATAACAATACATAGTATGATATAAATAAAAACATGTCTAGGGAGATAAATTTTCGTTCAATTAATGTAGATGATATATATTAAATTATGTATATGTGTGTATTTATATGGTCTTATGCAATGTCCTTGAAATTTTATGTATAATGTAAGATATTAATAAGTATCTGAGGCTAACTTACATTAATAGATGTTTTAATATATATATACCTATTTCACTAAAATTTTAGTGAATTTTATTTTATTCGATTCAAATCATTATTAACTTAAATTAATGAATTGTATACCTTTATGAAAAGTACAATTTACTTTTGCAGGCGTAACGTAGTGATGAAATACTAAAGGCCCTGTTTTTATAAAACAAAATGTCGGATAACAATTTACCACATATTTCATATGGACGTGATCCTCCTGGTAGTATTGTACGCATAGAATCTGAGATCAGATCTAATATTAGTCGTATTTCAACTATAGAAGAGACCTTAAGAAGACTTGGTACAAATCTAAGGCCAGAATGGCAGATTAATGAATCAAATAATGGTAAATTATTACAAATATTTATATGACAATTAACAACTCTTAACTTGACTCTTTCACTGTGGAAAAATCTTTAAGGAAGCTATCTAGTATTTTATGATACAATATAATGTAAATTATATATTATAAATTTACATTTATTGTTAAGAATAAGGAAACATTAAAATAATTTTTGGTATTTATTGCTATACAACATGTATGTAACAATATGTCTATATGTATTTTGTAAAATAATAAATGTACATATTGGATACATACATACATTTTAACTTTTGTATATGCTAATGAATGCATAAGAATATATATATGTCCATTTTTTGCAGTCATGGGGTTAATTGTATGGAAAAATTTGTCACTAAAAAATATAAATCAGTGAATGAATCTATAGAGTATGAGTATAGGCTACACTTTGATTAGTAATAAATTTTAGTTTTAAAAGAAATTTGGTGTCTAACTACAAATTATTATTTATATACTTAAATTTGAAATAATAATTAATATTTCTTATTGAAGAGGTGCATGATGTTCAAGCTGTAATAGTTGCACCTAATGAGGAACCTTCAGCAATGACATTATCTAAGTCTATGGAGAATGCACAACAAAGTGATGTAACTGATGGTGCATCTTCACCAAATCAACCAGAAATTAATGCATCAACAGTAAATTCAGAGGATGAGTATGTGTTTTTCTTTTGGTTAAGTTAATTAAATGTATTCTATACATTTTACTGACTATCTGTTTTTATTCGATATAGTAAAAGATATTGTTGGGTGTGTTTTGCCACGGATGAAGATGATGCAACAGCTTCATGGGTAAAACCATGTCATTGTCGTGGTACTACAAAATGGGTTCATCAGGGATGTATACAAAGATGGGTTGATGAAAAACAAAAAGGACGTGCAGGTGCACATGTAGCATGTCCACAATGTAACACAGAATATATTATTGTATATCCAAATATGGGTTGGTTCTTTTAATTTTAGCACAAATTTTGAATTAAATAATAATAATACTCATTATTAATATTAGTACTAGCTAGATAATTTATATATTGTAAGTAATTATTTTAGGGCCGTTAGTTGTAGTACTAGATACAATTGATGGAATAATTTTTCGAATCTGCCCTTTTATGGCAGCTACCATAGTTTCTGCATCTATATATTGGACTGCTGTAACATATGGAGCTGTAACTGTTATGCAAGTAGTTGGTCCTAAAGATGGCCTAGCTATATTGGAACAAGGTGATCCTTGGGTGTTGTTAGTTGGTTTACCAACTATTCCAATACTGTTAGTATTGGGTAAAATGCTGAGATGGGAAGATCAGGCACTTCTTCTTCTGAGGCGACATGCATGTAAAGTTCCTATTTTAAGGCATTTTTTACCCAGCAGGTGTGTGTTCAAAAGTAGATTTAAAAGTTTGAAATAAATATATAATTAATTTGAAATTATGTGTCTATTATTATAGTTATTCTAGTGATGACAGAGCACAATCTGAAGAAGTTCCACCTATGAGTGACCCAGTATCTGCAACACGTATTCTTTGTGGTGCACTCCTACTACCAAGTATTGCCAGCATATGCGGTAAAATATTTTTTGAAAGTATACACTCCAATTTTCAAAGGACATTGCTTGTACGTATAAAATACATTTGACAAGAAACTGGTTATTACATATATTTTTGAACATTTTGTGTGAAATTTTGTAGGGAGGTATAGCATTTATAACAATAAAAGGTGCATTCAAAATTTATTATAAACAACAGCAATATGTAAGACAATGCCAACGTCGGATACTGGATTATACAGAGAATAATGTTACACTGTATAGAAGACAACAGAATTCTGAGACTCAGACAAGTTAAATGCATATAAACCATCCTTCGAGAAGATATTATCAAAGGACAGTATATCGTTTCAGATTTAGTGTTATTAAACTTATTAGAATACTTCTATCATAAATACGAATTTTCAATATACCATCTACTTTTAACAATATAAGCGTGGGTACTATAATCAGGTTTAAAGGATACGTAATTTATGTGTTTTCCATATGTATATACATGGAACATTGTCATTATATATATAAATTCAATAATAAATTATGCTCAATGTGAAACATTTAAGTAAAAAGCATTGTACATCTTAAATGTACTAACTGAATAACAATAATGTCCATAAATCCTTACTTAAATAGTAATTAAGTATTGTGTAAAAATGATATTTCTTTACCATGCTTTAAATTTATCTGTTTCAAATTTAATATATCTATAACGGAAGGATTATATTTATTATAATAAAATTACAAATTTCTAATGCTTTGGAAAATAAGTAGAAGTGTCTTTTGTAGTAATTATTCATATTTTAACTTCTTGTAAATTGGAATATGATGTTTATAAAAATTTATTTCTGTCATTGGTAAGTCTTGGAATAAATATTAAATGTATACAGGGTATCTACAGTTTAAAGGTAAAAACTTCGATAGTGTGTAAAAGGAACTGGCAAACTAAAAAAAAGTCGTTTGATTACTTCATTTTGCAGAAAATTTCAAAAATTAATGTTAGAATTTATTCCGGTAATATTTTGTATATTACAGTTGCGATGCAGTCTCAGTTGCTCTCTTGAATTCGACGCGGAGGAATGGTATTTTAACCATTCTGGTCACAATGCGAGAAACTTTGAAAGAAAAAATTTAATCGGTCACAATTAGTGGCGGTGACAGAAAATGTTATATACATTGGGATGCTATACAGAAAAAAGATAAATAAAAACTCAACATTTATTAACACATAAGCAATGTTTTAATAAATAAATTTACTTATAGAAAAGATAATTTTTTAGAACAAATTATTTTTATTTAAAGACAAAATCCATCCTTCTTTGATTGTCCTGATAAAATATTTCAATAATTTTGGGTTAAAAGACAAAATAAAAAAATATTAATATTTAGATGCAATTAAGAAGTGATTAAGTGTGATATGTAATATCTGCATTGTTGCAAAAATTAACATTTTAAATAAGTGTAAAAATGAACAATCTTCCTTGTTTTTTTTTTCTGGAATATTTTTTTAAATAGAATAAATTCCACTAAACTTCTAAAAGTCCTATATTCTTAACTGACTCGTCTTTTATACATTCCTGAAGTTTTAACATTTAAATTAGAGATGACCTCTATATTAAAATATATATTCAATAAAAAAATTTTAGAAGAAAGGTTTTGTTTTACATAAATACTTTATTCGTGGTAATCATACAAAATAAGTGAATATCAATTTAAATCAATATATTATGTTTTCCGTAATTAAACGAACCTAGATGAATAACTTCCTAACAGTACATATAATATACTGATGAATTTTTATCTTCATTGAGTTGCAGCAAACTTGTCAAGAATTGAAAGTGATTTTCACTTTCTTTACAATACAGTAGAATGTAAATGGATTTTTATCAGTTTTAATTTACTAAAAGTCCGAAATTGTTAGAAAAATTCGCATGTTAATCGATGTCAAGGAAAAATATTGTTTGAATTGGGTAATAAATTAACTTCAGTGTCTGTTAAGTAACATGTTTGTTTGTAATTTATAATTCATACATGGTTGCTACAAATACAAGTTACCGGTAATTAATTGATTGTAATTAATAACTTTTTATTTGAATTATAATAGAAATATTAAAAAGAAAAACAGATTTTTACACAGATAATGATTTTTTTATTACCACATCTGATTCCCTTCAGGAAATGGGGTAAGATGACATACTTATTTGAATATTAAAACATTAGAATGATCAGAATACGTATTAAGAAACATTAGAACATTAAAACGAGACATTAGAATACGTATTAAGTACTCTAAATTTCAAAGTCTAATTTTTACATTTAACATATCTTTATTTAATAAGGTAATTACTTAATAGTACATATTAAGATGGCAACTATTTCCAACTTCTAAATTTTTTTTCGGTATTTCCTAGGATGACTCTAATTAATAAAAAGACAATGTTTACAAAAGTTAAACTTGACTAGATAATAGGGAAACGTCCCCTGTAATCTTTAATATTAAAACAACTCTTTAAATTTTTTTGCAGTTACTTCTGTCGATTAACTACTAAACTACTGATTGTACCAAAAAATGTGACTGATAAATGTTGTAGACCTAGATACAACACATCTTTTATGTTGTATTACTTTCTTCTTTAATACATGAAAAATGACAAGTGAAAATGGCCGGGAGAATTTTTAAAATTTTTCTTCACTTTTGAAACTTAAGGTGTATTCTGATTTCTTATAAGAAAAGATTTAAAAAATATTTATTTTTTATTTTGCAAAAGAAGTTTATATGCATATTATCTGTAATAAGAGATAAAAATGTTGAATGAAAAATAAATCGTTTATTAATTTTGTTATTTGTTAATTCTGTCTATTCACAAATGTTTTCTTCCTGTCTGTTCCATTTAATTCAAAACAAATCGCTTCAATTTCGTCCGATAGGTAAAATCCTGTTATCCAGTCCTGTTATTTGGTTCTTCCGAATTTATTATATTTAATCATTTTCAAGAATTTTCCATTTTTTCGAAAGAAGCATTTTAATTTTTGGAAAATAGTTATTTAGAGTCTAAAGCAGAAAATCTATTTTATACTACTTCTTACTGAATAACAGTAAGTGGAACATATTATGCTTTAAAGACAAATATAAAATAAAAAAAAAATGTTTTTTCCATTTTTTTTTTTCGAAAACAGTTCACCGTACGAAAAAATATCGTAAAAAAGGTGCGTTCTATCTAGATCTACATACTTTTATTTGACACATTTTTTATGTAATCAGTAGTTTAGAAATTATTTAGAACAACCTATTTAAAAAGTATTTAATTCCACTGTACAAAAGCCAACTGATTTCGTGAGGGCTACTATGAAATTCTTATAGATTTTTGCGAGCTGAATACGAATCTCAAATCCGTTTTTCTCTAGGACGTACCAGTTTTGGAGAAAATTAATTTTATGAAAAATTGAAAATTTTCAACTTTGGAAATTTTTTGTGCTTTTACCGTAGCAGCTATTCAGAGGCTTTTTACACAAGAAGAATCTGTGAATTATCCTGAATAAAACTATATAAATTGTTATTACATTGTACATATTTAAATACGTTTAAATGATGATCAAAATAAGAAAGACACCAAAAACGCACCAATTTTTTCTGATATTTTTCAATTTATTTAAAAAACTATGGGTCTAGGCGAAAATCTAACCATCGCACATGACAGAGCAGACATTTCTGCAGAAGAAGGCATCAAGCGAAGTTACAAAATCACCTTTGCTTTTTTTTATAAAAAAAATAGTTCAGCAAAACACGCACCGCTGTCAGTGATACTCAAAATTGGCGCGGCGCGGCAGTCGGCCCTGCCTATTGTCTTGGAGTAACGAAATAATTATTTCGCGACTCCCGCTTTTCACTCCATATGAAACACTTTTTGGAAATAAAGCATATCTATCTAGTAAAATAACACAAGAACCGACATTAAGTTATTCTTACGATGATTATATAGTTAATTTAAAACAAAAGTTAATGTTGCATCGCCTTAGAATGCGATGCAGCTATCTTTTCATAATTTTACAAGGCAATAGGCCCTTTCGCTCGGTTCATTCGTTCGCTCCTCGATACAAATCGTTACTTCGCCATAAATTATTGCTAATAAATAAAGATACGCTTTGAGTTGCCTTTAAATATTATATTCGATACTGATTTGCAATTTTGTTTTGTATATGTATTGTAAATTATTCAATTTGTTTTTGCCAATAAATATTAATTAATCAATTCCTTGAGTTCGTTATTCGTTTTGTTATTTATATCCCTAATAACACGTATTCTTTTTTTTTTACATAAATATTTGGGGTGTAAACAACTCCTAAATTACCGCGCACGTTTGGCATTACTTTAAGTGTCCTTCAAGCTTTGAATGGAAATATATTCAATAATAATGCTTGTCATTAAATTGTACAAGCCAAGTAGGGCCTTGACGCTTTTGAATATAACACATTCTTAAATAAAATTCTTATGGGTTCCTTCACATCATGGTACACTGGGAAATGAACTGGTGCACGTTGCAGCAAAGGAGGCAGCCAATAGTATACAAAAACTAGATATCCATATTTCTCATGGGATTGCCCACTTTACAGAAAATCAAGGTACATTTGACTTAAAAAACTGAAGGATGAACTGCTTCATATAAATTAGAGCCATTCATCATGGGACCGAACATAAAAGCAATAAAAATAGTTAGTAAATTTTTAATCGAAATTAATTTATTTATATAAAACATTGTGGATACGTTTAACACATGCTCATTAGGGTGACCCTTAGCTATAGAGCTCGATTTTTTTTTTTCGAATTTTTCATCGTCTCAGCCCCCAAAATTTTGACACTTGATGAAAAAATGATAATGTCAAAGTTTCAGCATGATTGGATAACAGGAACCCGTGCCGCAATTGAGTTGAAGTTTTGAAACTTGTACAATTTCAGGTTATCGTCGAATATGTTAGTGACCTTTTATTGTAAAAGTATCAGTGAATATTTTATAATGAAATTATAATTTTTTACACGTGTAATACTAGCATTTACATACAATTACAACACATACATATTTATATATTTACATACAATACATTTACACACGAATGTAACGTAGCTTTTAAGTTACCGGAGAATGTGACGGTTAGGAGCTGTACATAATTTGTACAAAAGTTGATCAATTTTCCAGTAATCTCGATTGTATTAGCACTTATAAACGAATTTTTTTTAAATACTTATAAGCAAAATATTTTTTAATGGAATTTCAGTTATGTCTTATAAATTAGCC